AAATAAACCTTTTTAAATTAATAAAATACCATAAATAATTCATTTCAAAATATTTAAATACTTCATAAAATAATGATTTAAATTAAAATACGTATAAAAATACGGGGTATTACAATTTTCCTCATATTTAAATACTTCATATAATAATGATTTAAATTAAAATAATGATGTTTTATAGTGTAGGATTGTGTTGTCCAAGAGCCTAGGGAGATCCTGGGAAACACGAGACTTCGTGTGAGAGGAGAATGAGAAACCTTAAACACGAAAGTTTGTGTGAGAGGAAGGAATGAAAAAACCTTAATCACGAGAGTTCATGTGAGAGGAGAGAATAAGATCAGAAAACCATGATCACGAGATTTCATGTGAGAGGAGAGAGTGAAAAAACCTAAAACACGAGTGCTCGTGTGAGAGAGAGAATGAGAAAAACCTTAAACATGAGAGATTGTGCTGTGAGAGGAAAGGATGAAAACCACGAGAGTTCGTGCAAAGAGCTTAGCCTTGATCCAATTTTTTTTTTTATATATATTTTTTTAACGTAATATTCATTATACTAAGGAATTCAGAAATTCCTTAGCTTAAAAGTCATAATTGGGAAATATAAATATGCCTGTGGGGTTAGAGAGAGATAGAGAGAAAGAAAAGGTTGTTGGTAATTATTAAAGAGATGGAGAGATAAAGTGTTGGAAAATGATGTTAAAAGTACAAAAAAATTAAAAGAAAATTAATGACAACTCAATAAAAACAATGAATATTATGAAAAAATACAATATTTAAGTAGAAATAGACATGTAGTTTTGAAACCCTACAAAAAAAATAGACATGTAAATAAGGGATGAAGGAAATACAAAATTTGTGATTTGTGACCGTTGTCCATTAAAAATTTTGGGAAACAAACCATGACTAATTCAAGGGAATTGTTAGAGTTCATATTCCATTTTTTTAGCGCATAATACTTGTGTACGTGAGGCTTCTGCTTGTGAGATTGTGAGAGTTCACAAACTTTAAAAAAAAAAAAAGAAAAAAAAAAAGAGAGAGATCTTACGTCTTTGTGAGAATGTGGGATTGTGAGATTTGCGAGGAATTTCATTTGTGCGTGAGTGTGCTGGTGGTTTGTAGGGATTTACATACTTTAATTTATATTTTTACGTTATTTTCATAATTAACGTATAATAGTGCGACTGTAGAGAATTATTGTTAGAGTTCACAAATTACAATTATTTTTTATCATGGTGAGATTTGATGATTTCGACGATGAGAAATATCGTAGCGTGATGAAGTTCAAGAGGATTTTTATGTGATTTTCGGCGGATTGTTTGGTGATTAGATATTGCTGCTTGATGATGATAACAAGATGCAGATTTTATTTTATTGTCCAAGTCTGATGTTCGAAATCTACACATCCAATTTGAGGAGGGTATTGAGATAGGAGCGTATATTGTGATATGATATTATGAGAATAATATCATATGAGATAATATTGTGAAAAGATATATGTGAGATATTGTGAATAGGTTTAGGAAGTTAAAATATATAGGAATATTAGGGTTAGATAATCTTTTTTTTTTTTTTTTTTTTTGAAACCAGATATTCCTGTTGTTTATATATATATATATATTGTAATGTGGCCGAATATTATGAATGGAAAAATACAAGGGAACAATACAATGAGAAAATATAGAGAAATATTTTCCCCATATTTTAACACCAATAAAGTTGTAAATGTAATACTCTCTTCGTATTTAAATAAGTGAAATGTTTCTCATGTACACGTATGCCAGGGACTAATAATATCTTTAATTATCAATTAATAAACTATTCATTGATACGATTCTGATAAGTACCCATAAAACTGTATTTATATTATGTATGAATTACAAACATTGATCAAATTGAATTAGATGAATAGTGTAAAAAGTCAAAACGTTTCACTTATTTGAATACGGAGGAAGTACTTTGTAATAGATTTATAAAATAAACAAAAATATGAGTGTAATATTAACAACTTTTTTTTTTTCAATAATCTGTATTATGTAATATCATTGTATTAAGGAGGCGGGTTATGGGTAGGGATTAGGTGGGTGTAGATATCCAAGTGGGGGGTGGAGTAGGAATTGTTTTGGAATTGTACCCATCGCGTGAAGATGGGGATGGATTTTGGACCTGCTGTGAGAACGGTGATGGGGATGGAGATAAGAATGTTAGGATGGATTTTGGCCCCACTCCGCCCCATTGACATCCCTACGTGTGAACCACTATAAATATATGCTTGTGTTATTCGAAGTACTTTCATACTTTGTGTATCTTAATTGATTTCTCATTTACAACTTTGTTCTTTGTCTTACAAGTCAAAGTCAAAGCCCAAAGGTCCTATTTATAAGAAAATAAAGTAAAAGAAATTTAATAGCCAAACTGTTGAATGCAAGTTAAACCACACACAAACACTAAAATGACTTGAAACAAATAAGGACTATATACAACAACGTAAAAATACCCAAACAAAAATAAACAAACCCTTGGATCCACGATCATACTAGCAATACATTCTCTCGTGAGCTCATAAGTCATAACTCTAGACTTTTCTTTCTTTTCATTTCACTAGTACTCCTTTTATATCTCCTTTTTTTTCGATTTTTTCTTTGTTAAATTTATCACTTTGAGTCCTACATTATTCACTTGACTTTATTTTTTAACATTATAAAATAAATAAATATTATTTATAATATATCATCAAATTAGTCACAAAGTTTATTTTCATAACTAGGGTAGCAAACGTGCGCAATGTGTGCACTATAGCTAACGAGGTTCGGAGAGTTCTTTCGGTTTGACTTTACGTCAAAAATTTAGTTGTTGGCATAGTTAATGAGAGAAATACAAAAACATATATCATTACACAAGCTATTGGGTGCGGACGTGTTTCGTGCGGCAAATAGCTTCATTGTTCCTAACACCTCCAATAGCAGAAAAACACTCTCATCTTCTTCATCACTTTCTCACAAACTCATCTCCACCTCCTCTGCCGCCTTCCATGGTGTCAAAATCTGCACAAACCCAGAAATCAAAATCAAATCAAATATTCAAAAACCCAAATAAAAACCTACCAAAAAAAACCAATTAATTCAAAGGAAACATCGAAATCAACGGTGAATCGAAATCAATTTGCTGAACTCAACGGTGAACCGAAATCAACAGAGTTAACAAGGATTGCCGGACTCGACTTGCTGAACTCAACGGTGAATCGAAATCAAGGCTTCCACGAGCATTGCGTGTGGTGGCAGAACTGGTGGTTTAGTGCGGTGATTAATGGAGGCGACATAGGCGATGGCGGTGGCTGGGTAATTGTAGTGAAAAGGTGCGGCTGTTTTGCAGTGGAGGTGATGTTGAATAATTGCTGATTGTAATGAAAAGGTGCGGGTTACCTGAATGGAGTTGCATGAGTGGAGTTTTTCTTTGGGGGCAACAGGGGAGTTGCGTGAGTGGAGAGGAAAATGGAGTAAAATAAAACTAATGATGCATATAAGCCAAAAAAAATTAACATATCAGCTAATAAATGTCTGATATCGGTTAATATTAGGGATATATTAGACATTAATAAAAACGTATCATCCAACAAAAGAAACCTATCAACCAACAAAAGATACATATCAGCTAACAAGAGTAATATATTAGCCAACAAAAGGTACTTATCAGCCAAGAGACGGAACATATCAGCCAACAAAAGATACATATGATAAGCCAACAAGAGGATGAAATCAGCCAACAAAAGGTATATCAACAGAAGGAACATATCAGCCAACAAACGAAGCATATCAGCCAACAAAAGGATGAAATCAGTAAACAAAAGCAACAGGTAAGCCAACAAAATAAACATATCAGCCAACAAAATGAAACATATAAGCCAACAATTAAAATATGCGTATCAACCAACAAAATAAATATATCAGCCAACTAAAGAAACATATAAACCAAATGATGCCTGATATCAGCCAACAAAAGAAAAAAAAAACATATCATCCAACAAAAGGAATATATTAGTCAACACAAAAACCATATCAACCAACAAATGAAATATATCAGCCAACACATGAAACATATCAGCTAATAAGTAAAATATATCAGCCAAGCCTCCCGCCCAAATTTGCGTGCGGAAGTCCGCACCCAATACCTTATCATATTTTTAGGGGTACAAATGTCCACACACTATTTTTAAGAGTTTAAAAAAGAGAGGCAATTAACATTAATGAGGGCTAATAAGTAAATAAAAATTTTGAAGGGTATAATTGTCCAAACACTATCCTAAGAGTTTTTAAAAGGTAGGGATTTAATTTTGTTACTATTATACTAATAGACAATTAAAGATATTGATGGTCAAAATTGCGTCTTGGTAAATGCGCTAATCAAACTAATGCATTTATAAAAAGAAAAAAAAATAAAAAATAAAATAAAATAGAGGGAGTATATCACACATAGGGTGCATGATGCTGCTTTAGTGGGAAACCAAAAGCCTATTTTGGTATTCAAATTTGAAAACTATACGTTGATATCAGGCAATCTTATCAAACTTAGTAAAACAATTAAACTTATTTAAAATTCAACATATATATTGTCGATCAAAGTTATGCATCATCAAATGTAAAAGGTCATTATGGAAAATTTAAAACAAAAACACTTGAGTGAGTAGCAAAATTGAGATTATTGCAAGAGCTATCACATTTGAGATTCTATTAGAATTTATGATCCAAACTTGGTACTCAGTATTTTTTTTCACTTATTTATATGATCAAACTTCAAATGAGTAAAATATAAAGGGTAATCGGTAAATTGTCATGCACATCAAGGTAATTATTAAGCTCACCTAAGCCATTCAAAGACAAAACAGAAAACTTATCAATGCACTTTTCAACCTGTAACACCAATGAACTCTTCCTAATCAACTACCTAACCATTATTTTTTAAACTACTTAACCCATCAAACCCACACATGCAAACAACTACTACTACAATCAATTTCATCAGCTCCACTACAAATTTTCTGACAACCATTTATTAGAATAAATTTGAAGTTCCTCAAAACTTATATATACCCTAATGTACATCTTTCTATTCATCACCAACAACAATTCAAGCAATTATCTCTGAGAGATACAACATATCCAATCTCTTATAATCTGTCCTCTTTGCTTAATTAGCATTTAAACCCGAAATGGCCAAGTTTTTCTCCCTTCCCACCATTTGTATACTACTACTATCCCTCACTCTAGGTCTTGCCAACTCTGCTCGAATCCTCGACCAAATGAGCTCTCAGTTTACTCCTGCAGATGAACTACCAAGTCTACCACCAATGGATGATTCCAGTTCTACAACTGTTTTACCAAGCGGCCAAGCTCCTGCTGTTGCGACAGAAGCTCCAGCTGCTGCTGCAGAAACTCCAGATGCTGCAGCAGAAGCTCCTGTTGAAGAGGTTGCAACCCCGGATAATCAACCTGATCAGCCTCAACCAGACTCTACAACTACTGCTGCAGCTACCCCTGAGGAAGCTCCTGCAGCATCTGCTGCACAGGGTGGTGCTGGAGGCGGAGCTGAGCAGCCCGGACATCCTGCTATATCCTTCTTCATGCATGATGTTCTAGGCGGGTCAAGTGCCTCAGGCAGGATTGTCACTGGTCTAATTGCCTCCAGCGATGTCAATGGAATCCCATTCTCACAGCCAAACAACCAAGTGTTCCCAGTCTCCAACGGAATACCCCTCATGAACAATGGCAATCTCAATAACGTCCTCAACAATAACAATGTCCCCTCCTTTGCAGGACTTAACGGTCAGAACCAACAACAAGTCGTCCAAAATGCTGGCAACAACAATGTTGTAAACGGTGGCAACAACAACCAGGCCGCATTTGTCAATCCTGGACAGCTTCCCTCTGGTACAACCCTCCAGAAGCTGCTGTTTGGTTCCATCACAGTCATTGACGACGAGCTCACTGAGGGCCATGAGCTCGGGTCTGGCGTCATGGGCAGAGGCCAAGGCTTCTACCTTGCTAGCTCCCTTGACGGAGAAAGTCACACCATGGCCTTCACCGCAATCTTCCATGGTGAGGGTCATGAACAAGAAACCGATGACACCATCAGCTTCTTCGGTGTCCACCGGACTGCCTCTCCGATTTCTCAGATGGCTGTCATCGGTGGAACAGGTAAGTATGAGAATGCTAAGGGATATACTACTATTGAGACTATCCCTGATCAGAACCAGCACACTACTGACGGTGTTGACACCGTTGCTCATTTTAGTGTTTACCTTAACTAGGTATGACTGCAGAGTCCTGAAATCTAAACTTGTGTAATTTGATGCTTGTGCTCTTTTTTTTTTTTTTTTTTTGGTTTAAGTTGGAGTTTCATTCACTTTGTTGTACGTATTATGTATGTATAATTAAGCCATGTAAGTTAATCAGAAATTATGTACTTAATGCAAATGAGTTTCTTGGATTTACCTTCTTCTTTCTGTATTTCCTGATATGACATGCAAAACATTCTGCCAAAGATCAATTTTTCAATCTGATATTAGGTGTAAATTAAAGAGTCTGAACATTTCGTTTTTATCTTCCTAGAAGACTAGAAGTGATTTCTAATTACGCCTTAGAGTATCCATGTTGTAACTATACCTCAGTTTCTATTCATATATACGAAGTACAGGCGTACAGCACAATGTGCAAAGGAATACTTTAATTACATAAATAAACCTTTGCTAGACTTATACTTCAATTAGTAAGCAACGATTTAATACTACTACAAAGTATGAACTAACAAGTACCAAGTGAAACACTAACTTTTCTATGTAAATATTAGACATTTTAGCATTCTTAAAAAAACATCTAACTTTGAAATGCGTTGTAAGGAAAATTTAAACAAAATAGATAATTAAAACTAGAGTATCAAGGGTCTATTAGCCGTTACTATTCTGCATGGATCACAAACAGATAAAAGAATCCTAGTCTAGAGAGATGGAGGTCAAATCATCAAGCCAAATCAAGATAGAGGCTGAATCTTTTCTAGCAGAAGACTTATCTTCTGAAATAGAGAAATTTCTGCACATAACAAGATATATATTGCGCTGTGTGGTTTTCATGTATGATTGCATCTGTTAGCATATAAACATGAGTTTTAGACACATGAAAGTAATCTAGCACTTCATTGCCGGAATTTAGGGGAATTCCTAGCACTTCATTGCCGGAATTTAGGGGAATTCCTGCAATGTACTGTAGCTTGTAAAGGAACCAAATTCTGGAATTGTCTAAGGTTTGAGCAGGTTGTGCTATCCAAACCTTGACAGGGCCCTGATGACCGTGCAGCTAATAGATTTAGCAGTTAATATCAAACTACCAGGAAACCCCACTGCGGCTTTTTCCATTCAATACAATAACGTTCTTCAAATTCCAACTTCCCTATCAGTCTTTCCCAGGAGATGTTTTACTCATGTCAAACTAAACAAATTTGTAAACAGAGTAATAATCTTGACATGGAAAATGCCTACTTGCTTCTTGGACTCGACATCATATATCAATATTGTCTTATAAAGGATTGCAAGTTGTGTAAAGCCATCTCAATGTTAAATGTTGATATGTTATTAGCTCTCTTATTGCTACAAGTAAGCTGTTATATCTGCCCAGACTAAACAAAAACAAAGCTGGTCGAAAGCGAGTAAATAGTAAGATAATAATCTTATACCAAGCCTTAAAGGTATGTAGTAAACTGTGAACACTATCACTAACAAAACAATCAAGGGTTCTAATTGTGATTATGCAAATCACGGTAAAAAAATAATCTTGTAGCTTCTCCAAATCAAAGAAAGGAGGTAAAACAAGAAAAAGAATGAAAAAAGAATTTAATAGGTAACATAGACAGTGAATTGGACCACAGTCTCCACCCCATCAGTCTGAACCTGATTTTTTGAGGGTGGCAAGGTCTTGATAATGGCATACCCCTTAGCATTGACAAACTTGCCAGTTCCCCCCATGACCGCCATCTGAGATTCCGATACACCCAACAGATGAACCCCAAAGAAGCAGATTGTATCAGCATAACCTCCAGTCTCGAACATAGCAGTGAGGGCCATCACTTGACTTTTACCATCCACAGAACTTGACACATAGAAACCCTGTGCCTTTCCAACCCTACCAGAGCTCAGCTCAGGCCCTATAGTAAGCTCATCGTCAACCACAGTCATAGTCCCAAACATAAGCTTCTCTATGGTTGAACCAACTGGGAGACGTGCTCCATTCATGCCATTATTTTGGAAAATATTAGAAGTGGTGCCACTCAAGCTTGTGAGGAAGGGGAAACCGCCAGCATTATCTACTTTGACTCCACTATTAATAGGGAGGACTGCGCCATAAGGTTTAGCGAAGGGGAGCTGGCCACTTAGTCGCGGGTTGTTAACTATACCGGTGATGGCTTTAGCTATGGGGTTATATCCTCCAAGTATGTCATGCATGAAAAAGGTAAAAGCAAGGTCTGTGTTTGGAACAGGGTTGGGGCAGGGGCCCCTTGAGGATGCATAGCTTCCCAATCAGTTTGTTCATCGAGAAATCGAGCAGTGGAGGTTAATGCAGTAAAGCCTAGGATTAACCATGATACAATGGAATACTTGGCAATCATGGATTTTAAAATATGCATTTCCATGGCAATAAGGTCGAAACCTGAGCAGAGAAGACAGGCTTTTTTTTTTTTGTGGTAAAATGTTCAGGATTTTGCTAACTTATAAATACTCCCCTTTCAAAATAAAATTGCTATGACTAAAATTGTAGTAGTACGTTGATGAAATGGAGTTGGTGTTTACGTAACTACATGCAATACTGGTGAGTGTGTTTTGGTAAGCTTTAAAAAGTCAAACGTTGACTATTTTGTGTTCAAAGATTGGTTTAGTCAAAGAGGATTGGCTGGATAATGAAAATCAACTTGATCAGAACAATCAAGGAGATATGCAGTTGTCACATTTCCAAATTTAATAAGCAAATCTTAATGGATAATTTGATCATTGACTATATAGATTATGCACTATTAGGAAATTGACATACAGAGTGACAGCTATTTAGTTTCCTTAAATTATATAAATCAGCATGCTCTTAGTCATAAAAAAAATATACAAAATAAAAAATAAAATTCAAAGCCTATTAAAAATCAAAGGTCAAAAATCAAACAATATTACTTGTAAATCATGGTTCAAGTCATACGGTTTATTTTTTTGGGTCCGGAGCAAGTAGTTAGAATCAAGTACCGAAATATAGATCAGTTTGAGGTGTTGTTTGGTTGCCTTTAGTTTTCATGGGCATTTAAAATTTCCATGAATTTCCTTTTAGGTATGTTGTTTGGTTAACATTAAAAAGCAAAAATTGGGGAAGTCACAATTCATGGGAATTTTCACTTCTCACAAAACATGGGAAGTTACTTACCCACCCCTCCCTTGGTCATTTACAAATTCCCACATGACAACCAAAATATTTATGCAATTCCTAGGAATTTTGATAAAGGAAGTAATTTCCCATGAATTAGAATTTTCCATGGGAATTTACTTCCTACATCAACCAAATAAGTCCCGAGTCTACTAATGTTGCCCAGAATTTGTAAAAAAGGCTCTTACTTTTGGCAGGATATTAGGAATTAGCATCCTAAGACTGTAGTAAGACACTCTGGTCAACATATCAAGTATAACTAGAAACGTAATCTAACCAATTTAATCAAAATCACAAAGCAAAGACGCTTTAACTCAATAAAGGTTGCTTCCAATCAAAGTATCAAGGACCAAGTATTACAGGAAAAACAATCACTATATTTCACTTTCAACAAACTTTATGAAAAATGTGCTTTATACAAGAATGAAGCTATCATTGCAAAACCTTATCAACTTAATCTTTAACAATGACTCAAAAAATGTGTGCTAAAATCAATCAATAGTAGTTCCCCTCAAGTGAAAAGTCACTAACTCCTATATGCTTGTCCCTCAGTATGCAGACTCTACAAATACGTTCTGCAGAAAAATGTATTTTGTACAATTTCAATGACTAAACCTATCTACACGAACACGCGTTCAACAAAAAGAAAATTCCCCACTCACAAACTCCTCTATAAATTCGTCTATCAGCAAACTTTGTATTTCTTGTACTATCAAATCTGTTTCCTCTTCTAAATCTAACCATTCAATCTCCTTTTTACACACTTTATCAGGTTTCCTCTTAATATCCTCTTGCTGGTTGACCAGCAACGACCACAGGTCTTCCACAATGAGCTCCTGACTTTTTTGCCTTTGACAAAACCTTTTCGCTACAGGTTTCTTCCATGTACTCAGGCCAACAGAAGGTTTGACAATCTCCAAGAGCCCCAAGTTTAAGCGATCAAATAAAAGCCGTCTTTCTGACTTTTCCCATGGCATATGCTTGCCATACTTCTTCTCTAACTCATCAAACACTAAAGGTTCCAAGACATAACCACGTAAACACCAAGTTTTGCTTTCCATCTCCAAGTCCATCATTTGAAGACCTGACTCCACCAACACATCAACTACATATGAGAAATCCAAGCTTTCTTTGATTAAAGTTTGATATACTTCCATTATTTGTGGATCATTCTGATATAAACCAACTGAATCTTCATAATCGCCCCCCTCACTAGATACTACCATCTCAGGTCCCTCTGATCCTGATTCTAAAGACATGGTTTCTATGAGTTGAAGCTTTCTTTGCAAACCTACACACAGAATAGAGGATCTAAAATTTAGAGATACAACATCATCATCTATATAAGAGTTAGTAAATAATTTATTTATTTATTTTTTACCAACCTTGGCAATCGTTCTCTACTTGATCAGACAAATGTCCCGCTGCCTCCACAGATATATTTGGAATATGCATGCAACCTTCTGGGCCTTCCAATGAACTCACAGGAGACCTTGGCTCAGCAGCCTTGTCTTTCTTTTTTAACTGCAAAATTGACATCCAACTAATGAGAAGAGAAGTACTGAAATGGACTAAGAAACCATTGTAAAGACTTAAAATTAGGATGATAGCTTTTGGGGGAAAAAAAAAGGAGGGGGGGGGGGGGGGAACCGGAATTATCTACAAAACAACTTCCTAAGGATATGTATGAAAAGGTAATAAAGCCACAATCAACAAAGATAAACTTGGTGAAGTGAAAGACAGTCAAGTAGGTTATATATCTACTAGGAGAACCTAAGCTCAAACAACATAATGTAACTGAAATTCCATGAATGAAGTATATGTCTCTGCTAATTATGTATATAAGACCTCCAACATTTATCTTTAACAAAGGTAACATCCTCCAAGATTTTCAATATTTCATCGTATTCTGGCAACAAAGCTCCCACAATATCTCAAAGCTTGTCTTATTAATGAAATAAGTGTGTTTCAATGGTTTACAATCCAAGTCTCCAACTGCGGAAATCATCCTCATGCAATTTCTCAAACAATTTGCCGCATCTCTGTTTGAAGGTATAGTATATTAAAACCACTAGTAACCAGACCCAAACACAGTATTTTCCCAATAGACACGAGTATATTGATCTTTGAGCTTCGATAAACTTTAAGATTTAATGAGAACACCACAAAACTATGGTCAAAATTCTAGATCAGTTTCTAGAAAAATTGATAAATCCTTTCTTTCATCAAGCCTGTAGCACCAGACATCAAAAACAAATTACCAGAGGAAACAGCCAAGATAAAAATGACCTAAGTGGTGGCAAACTTTATGCAAACATTTTTTCTAGAATTGAGACTTTAGCTGCCACAATCAGCAAAAAGAATAAACATCGCATTTTAAATCTGGAGTAGATAAAATGTAGATAAAAAGCTTAACCAACATAAAAAGCATGGCTCGTTGCTTTGCAACAAACAGATTTAGAAGCAATGTATACAAAAGATTTCATTCATATTTAGCTCTTCAAGTGTAAAAATTATTCCCTCCATCTTAATTAATTTGCCATCTTTCCAACCCCATTTTACACCAGCGTATATTGATAAGTCATATGAGGATAAAATAAAGTTAAAAAGTACCTGGTGCTTCCAAGATTCTTGATCTCCCAACAAAATGCATGAAGTTGACTTAGCTGACAAAATCTCCCTTCTAACTTCACTAGACAAGTTCACTCTTTTATGCTCATCATCAGAAAGGTCCTCTGTCTCCAAAGCTAAATTACAATCTGTAGACAAGGATTCAACAGTGTTGTTTTGAGAAACAACCTTCTCTAGATGCCTTTCCTTAATCTCATTCAGGATTATGTGAGCCTCGTGATAAGCAGGACTCTCTAAATCTGAAAAAGCCGTGTAATTTACAGAATTGATCAATGTAAAAGTTTGTTCATGCGACTTATGTCCCACGTGCTCAACTGAATCGTTAAGGATTATGGAAGCTGCATGATGAATGCATGGCTTCTCTGAGTCTAAGCTAGTACATTCAGATGTTGATTGTACATCTTTAGGCCCAATATTGTCCTTCTCTGAGTCATCGCATTGCTTTCTATCCCACTTTCCTGGTCTCAAACACCAACTTTTATCAAAAGTAAATTGCCTTACTCTGCTTCTGGGAACCCAAGCAGAAGGAAAACGTGTTGGTTTGGACAAATATCTGGCAGCAGACACCGGACAAACATTCACATTGTCATTATGTAAAGGAGTGTTTAAATTCCCATTACTGGTGTTGAGGACAGTATTACTTCCATTACTACTTGTAACAAACACTTCATCTAGGATTTTGCTGCTTCCACAAGATGTGCTAACCTCCTGGGAGCATTTCCTTGCTCTGTACCTTTCTGAGATCTGTTTACTGACTGTCTGAGATCCCCTGCTAGAAGATCCACCAGCTGAATTGAAAGACAATGCTTCATGTTTTTTCTCTGAATCACTTAAACGAGCAGATAAAGTCACTTTTTCCTCATCATTTTCAGAACTCTTTTCACCTCTAGGCCTTGAACTGGATAACTCTGCACAACTATGCCATATACTATGCTTTACTTGACCAGTAATTTGCTTTGCTATTTCCTGAGATGACAAAGAGCCTTGAGTTGGAGACTTTAAGCTGTTATAGGAGCCATTCGCTTTCCTCCCTTGAAAACGCATTCCTTTATTCCCCTCAGACACAGATAATTTTCGTTTCCGGTCACTAGATGAGGAATTAGATGATGAACGTGAATTTCCAGCAAGAAAGGACTTCTCAGTTCGACAAAGCAAACTCTGGTAATCAATCACACTTGCTCCTCCTAAATAGTTAGCTGTATCTTCACTTTCCTCCATGTAAGAATCAGCTTCATCCGAACACAAGAATGCTTTCTCCCTTTTACCAACTGAAGCAATATTCTGATGATAGTTCTGAGAGAGTACTTTATGCCTTTGATGTGCAGTATTCAAGTTTGATGGTTTATCAATACCCATCAACCTTGCAAGAACACTCGACGCATTTCTTTCTGCTGCCATTTCCCAGTGTAGTAACCCAACTGCTACCATATACAAGCTTCAACACCCTAGATGCATGACAATGACAGGACAAATCAACACGAAAATTCCACGAAACGTATCATAATTCATCATACATGCACCTTTAGTTGATAAAAAAAAAAAAAAAAGGTATGAAGAACACAAATTAGCACCGCACACTTCTAGACCCACACTCTATATATCTAACATAAATCTCTTTGAAACCATAATTGCAACATGCCAGAGACAGCATACACTAATTACAACTCATACTTTCATTATTTATTTTTTATCAAATAAGAGCTAGAAAAGACAAATATAATGCTCTACTAAACACACATTAAATTTGCAAAAGAAGCCACCCAGAAACTCACTTAAAAAGCAAATTCCTACAACATACAATAATCAAAAACATAACCCACTAAATAGAATTTTCTGCATTTATTACTTTCATATTAAACATCAAACATAACCTATAGTAAGAACATTTCTCTATAATTTAAAAATCCCTATATTATAAAGGGACCTTTATTCTATCTAGATTTATTTTAGGGTCGGGTTCTAAAGTAACGGTCGGATATATATGATGGGAAAATACGAGGATTTGGACGAAAAAAGAAATTTCGGAAGACTATAATAAAAGGGTGCATTGTAGAGAAAACCCATTATATAACTAAAATTCACTAAAGCAAAAGAAAGTGGTTACACAGTGATTCCATACAAGCGAAATAATGACAAATATAACCAAATTATTATCATAAAAATAAGACAATAATTATTCATTCTCCATTATTTTAACATTAAAAATGCCAACAACTTCTATTACTCTGAAACCCATCTTCCATTAGTAAAAAGTAAACCAAAATCATCAAAGTATTTATAACCCAGAATTCAATAATACCCAGTTTCAGATTATTATAACAAACATAAACACAAAATTAATGAACATAAACCAAAATCAAATTCAACACAAATCAGAAAACTAACCTTAACCCAGAATTATTACAGAGGAAGAAATCGCCCAAAATGAAGGAAAAAAAATGGATTGAAACAAAAAAAGTTCAAAAGAATAGAGAAAAATCTGTCTAGAAATAAACCCAAAATGAAATGGAAAGAAAGAAAAAAGGGTAAAAAAAAATCCGATATTGCGGGAAAATTAGAGAAAAACTAGGAAAGAAATTGACGAAGAAATTTGGAAGTAAGAAAAAAAAATTGGATGTGAAGTAGGAAGATGAGAAGACTCGCCGGCCGACATTTAGAAAGTCGAACCGGCCCGCCAAAGGTTATGAGTTATGAGACTTATGACATCCCTTAAAATAAAAATTGGACGCAAAATTTGTTTTTGTATGGAGTAATAATGAATTAATTAATTAATTGATGCTAAATATGTCATTATCATATACGTATATCTACTTGCCAACTTATATGATTCAACCCAAATTTACAATCTTATTGGTCAATGGAAATTGGAAATGCGAGGGAAAGTGAACTATATCATGCATTTGCAAATGGGTAGGCGCCATGGGGTCCCTTTTTATTTTATTTTTTTCAATATTAATAATTCATGTTGGTTTTGGTTTATAACTAGCCAAAATCCTGTGCCACGCACGGATTTTACAAAAATTTGTAATCAATAATCAATAATTTAATTTAATTTAATACTAAAACAAACATTGGGAGTAACACGTGTCACATCCTGGTACTATTTTTTCCCTTCAAAACTCTCATTTCTTTTTTAACCAATATTTTTTTTGTATTTGTATATTTGATACAATTATAATAATATCATTCCAAATCTTTTATATTATCTTTATTACAAAAATATTCCATTTTTTTTTGTGTTCATAATTTTTCCATACACATTTACCTAAACTGTTATTCCATTAAATTATCTGATAAATGGAGTATTATTAGATTTTGCTAAAAAAAGTAATACTCCATGATAAAATTGATTCATATTATTGATGTTAAAGAAATTACTTTAAAGCATCACTTTTTTTTTTTTGTTAAATAGATTTCTCTTTGTTAAATAGATTTCTCTATGAAAAATACGAATCGGTTAATTATATTTTCAAAAAAAAAAAATAAGACTTACCGTGCATGGCACGGAGCCTAAGCTAGTACATACTAAAACAGACACCAGGAATGACACGTGTTATTTTCTGGTGCTGTTTTTTCCCTTCAAAACTCTCTTTCCTCTTTTAGCAAAAAATCTTTTATTTTCGGAAAATTGTATACAACTATATAATAATATTCCAAATCTTATATGTTATCTTTACATAAAAATGTATTTCTTTTTATATTGTGTTCTTAATTCTTCCATAAACATTTACCTAAAATATTATTCTAACTCTTTTTTAATTATAGAAAAAGTGAGCCACTGATTCACATACAAGATACTATCATTACTGTCTGGACATCTTTTAGCTGGAGTATTATTGAAATTTTGCCCGAAAAGTAATAATAAAATTGGTTCATATGATTTATATTAAAGAAATTACTTTAAAACATCACTTTCATTTTTTTTTTCAAATACCTCTAATATTTTGTTTCTTAAACTAATGGTGTATTACATGACTATATAATAATTGTTGTGTTCGACAACTATATCATATGTCTAATTCTAGGAAAATGTGAATTTCAATCAATTTTTTTGTTATTACTTAATTAAATAAATTTATATCTCGGTAAATATATATATATATATATATATATATATATATATATATATATATATTTATATATAAAAAAATTTGTCTTTTGCTGAAACATGTGATTGAGATGATAAATTTAATACATTCGACATTATAAATAACACACATAGTAAAAGACACATCAGATATATAGTGACAAGTGACATCTTCTTGTGTATTCTTTTTTTTTTTTTTGATAAATAACTATCATCAACAAATAAACTCTTAAGGCAATAAACAAACAATGATTATACTACAATTATTGGATAGCTTCAAACACATATTTATATAATAATAAAGAGCAACGATATCATTTAGAGCATCAATTTATAAACAGAAAATGTACTATTAATAGGTTAGTGTTGCCTAATTGTTGATTATAATTGCCTTAAATGATCCGAGTAGTATTTATTTCCTTTGAAATTATTTTACTAGATATAAAGGTGATATATTATTTGTAATTTATATATTTACATGTATGTTGTGCTAATAGTTTAATAATTTTACTGTAGATTTTATTCTGTTGTTTAATTAATATTTTCATGTTTATTAAAAGGCGTTTATAAATAAGTCTTTAGTCATATAGTTACTAGATTGTATAGTTTTATCGGAAATAATATACATCATTAATGTAATATAATGTATACTACTTTTAAATATTTTCAACACAACTAATTGTTTCGGGGTTTTTTGATGTCTTGCGGGAGAGTTACAATTCCGGGACTGGTATCCTTGCGCCTGTACCTGCAAAACAACGGAGACTCCTTGTGGTGGGAGTTCCGCCTCTGACGATCAAGTTAGAACGTGTATGAGGAGTGAATAGTGCGGAAAAGTAAAGGTTGGGAGATCTTAGGTGAGTGTAATTAATGTTCTTCGCCCCCCATTAATAAGGATTAATGAAGGTATTTATATGCCTTGGGATGCGTGCCAGTCTTAGGTTTAGGTCAACCTAGGGCTGATTGGGCTTCCACAAGACTTTGGGCCTAGGTGGCCGGTTTTCCCATTTGGCATGGGGGAGGCCACGCGTCGTAGCATAAGAGGTCCAAGGTGGACTGATCAACACTTGACACGTGGCTGCCGACTCCCTTGACCGCATCCCTCCCCTCTAGAGGGATAGCCTTGATCATAGACTTGGCCATCTCGACCAAGTCTGGTTCTTGGGGGCCGAGAAGGGAAAGGTCAGAATAATGAAGAAAGCCTTGAAGAGAAAAGTTTAACTCTAGCAGAGCTATGTTATACTTCTTGGCGGCCGACTGTCCCTAAGGACTTGTGATGGTTTACCCACACTTTGTGGGGTAATCGGCTGTTTGTCAGCCGACTGTTTCTTGGCAGATCCAGGCGTACTCCCAGTAGTCGTCTTCCGAACTTTTAAGTCCGGCTGTTGGGAGGAGGAGGGTTTGGAAGTGCCCGCCTGCGAAAAAGATGTATGGTCAATAATAATAATAGCAGGTTTTCCAAGACAAGTTCAAAGGCTCAGAACTTACTATGGGCGTCTCCTTGGCAGAATCAGAAGAGGTCCGCTTCTGATGCATGATGGAGGTCAGCAGCAAGGCGGCCACCTTCTTAGATGTAGAAATCTGGTCCCTAGCTTCAGCTACAAATAAGAACCACAAAGAGTTAGAAAAAATTCGAAAACAAAGCAAAAGACGTATACATGCTCAAGTGGTCGGCTACCTCTGGAGGTCCGACTGCTAAGGCCGCAGGCGGCCAGAAAGTACTCGTCATAGAGCCATTGAAAATCTGGGACGCAGTTTAGGGGAACTTGCTCTCGTACCCCAGTAGTAGAGTTTGCCCTAATCTCTACTTTGAAAAGCCCTCGGTCCAGGATCTCTTCCCTAGCCTTGAGGGGAACAAGCGGCATGCTGCGACGGCCTGCTAGAAGAGGCGGATCTTTGTTCCACCTATTGTAGCGCTTGTTTTGCAGCTTGTCAGGGCTGGCAATGATGAGGAAGGTGTTTCTCCAATCCTTCCATTTATTTTCTTTGCCCTTCGTCATCAGATAGCCTTTGTAGCTAGTTATTTGGTACCAGCCGGTACCGCTTGCTTTGGGGGTCCGGCTAAGATAGTTCATATGGGTGAACGCCTCAAAATTCGGCTCCACCCCATGCGTTTCACATCCGGCTACATAGCCAAGGATGTTGAACAAGGAATTCGGGGCTAACTGCCATAGCCCCTCCTCGTATGCATCGAGGATTTGTTAAACGACCGGATGCAAGGGAAATTGAAGCCCAGCCTTAATGGCCGCCTCGTAGCAGCTAAAACAGGCGTCATCGTAACTTGTTCTCAAGGGCCAACGACTGTATCCTCACCATCCGACACAAATACTTGAAAATCAGGACCCATCACATGGTCCGATAAAAAAGAGTCTATTCGTTCTTTCATGGCCTTGATCCGGCCCTTTGGGACATGACAGTAGTAAAGAGTATTCAACTCCCTATGAGAGGCGGATGGTTCCGACCAGCCGTCCCCCTTTTCAGCAGCATGAGAAAGTCTCGCCTCATGCAAACAAGAGTGCCTTTCCTCTGAGTTTATAGAGAGGCAGCTTGAAGAGCTAGAGTCAGACTCACTATTAGAAAAGTCCGACTCCTCCCCTCTCCCTGAGGGGGCCGACCCCTCTTCTTCTTCCGGGGCCGTCTACTGACTGGCCAGGTCAACAGTGAAGTGGGAAGAGGCTACCTTAGCTCCCTCCTCAGAGGTCTCGGCAGAAGGGGCACCTTGGGTCCCTGCGGTATCAGGCGACTGGTCCGACAGCTCACTAATCTGAACCCGGAAAGAGGAGCCATCAGAGTTTTCAATCCTCTTTGTCTTTTTTGTTCTTGTGGCCATATTGTCCCGCATAGATACAAAGACAGTTGGATTCCGAGACTTGCGCAAAGTTTGAAGTACCGCAGGGCAGTCGGCACCCCTAGTCCTAGACTCAGTCATCCCCGGTGACCGGCTGATTGCTAACCTAGGTCGTGTCGGATGCTTTTGAGGTCTCATTTTCAAAAAAGAAAGAAAAAGTGCAAAAGCAAAAAGAATAAAGGAACAGACGGTTACCTGAAACTTAAGTTCTGGAGGAGAGCTTGATCAAACAGACGCCTAACAAAAGCAGTCGGCCTGTCAGAAATACTCGGCAGGTCAAAAGTTGCAAAGTGTCAGAGCTCAAGTTCAGGGGTCCGAGAGTTCTCTTGAAAAGTTCGCAAATGTGAACAAAAGACTTGGTCAACATGCCCTTATATAGGGCAAAAGGAGAATGCGAAGGGTCGCCTCCAAATTCAAAAAACGAGCGGGAAAAATGCTCGGCCCGTCATAGGGTGACACCTGTAGCAGGCCGTCGCCTGTTACAAGCCGACACCTGTCACAGGTGACATGTGAACAGTCACGTGCCACCTGTGAGGGGCAAATGATTAGGGGATTTTTCCCTACCAATCATCACCTGACAAATGGACCATTCAGGCTCTGCCAAGTGTCCGCCACATGGACCAATTAGAGCCTGCCACGTGTCAAGTGTTGATCAGTGCACCTTGGACCTCTTATGCTACGACGCATGGCCTCCCCCATGCCAAATGGGAAAACCGGCCACCTAGGCCCAAAGTCTTGTGGAAGCCCAATCAGCCCTAGGTTGACCTAAACCTAGGACTGGCACGCATCCCAAGGCAT